GGCGCTAATCGTCGGCCTTGGTGGATTGAGGAGTAACGCGAGTGGAGAGAGGCTGTAAATGTGAGAACGCCATTGATTGGATGACAAACGTGGTGACATGCACTCAGAAGTGATGAACCATGGGCCTCAGATAATCTGGGTTCTATCGATTGAACGACGTGAACATTTATCACACACATAACCACTAATTGCAATTTAGTGTGGTGTTTCAAACAACGAGCGATCCGCAACCCTTTGTTTGATCAGCCCCGCTTCGCTGTTTGTTCTGTGTCATGCACTTTGGCATGCAATTGCATTCTTGCACTTTTTATTACATATCCATGCCCTATAAAAAGGGTAGGCAAGCTTAGCATGGACAAGACTTTCATTGATCAGGACAAAGAAATGAAATATGGGTGCTTTCTAAACAATTTTAACTTTTTTTATCCAATAAAATTTAGAATCACATTAATCTTTGTCAGGTGGTTGTCGCGTCGTTGAAAAACCCTCGCACCTCTTGACCTTCACTTGCACAGAGTTGGGCTTTAAACACTTTATGGATATTGATTTTAGCGTGACAGATTTTGATGACGCAGTTCTGAAGCAAAAATTGTAATCAGTGATATTCTAGATAAATCGGAATAAATCCGACCAATTTGTGGTCTATACTTTGTTGGAAAATTCAGACATGTTGGAGAGACATCTTCGCATTTACTGAAAATTTGGGTTAAACCCATAGTCTTCGCTTAGTGTTTTTTAAAATGGCAATGCAGGCTTAATTGATCGCTTATTTTCAACCTATAGCTCGGAAAATTTATTAAACTTTGGGTCTATGACCGCTCTGACAATTCCTTTGAGGGGCTTGTTACTCTCGCCCCCCACAATCAGTCGACGACAGGATTCATGAAACTGTGAGGTGGACGTCTTCACTCTTTCCCTCTCTCTCTCTCTTCGTGTGGGCCCAGGGAGTGAATCGCTTTGGGTAGTGTTCAACTTAATGAGGTGATACAAACAACTCGTATCGCCTGTTTGGTAAGACGAGTCCTGTCCGGATGGTGAATAACGTGTAACTTGTAAGAATTTAGTATTGAGCAATGTTTTCCACCGATTGTTTATCAAATCCCCCTGAACCTACGACCACTTAGTTTTCAAGTAGTAGAGTAAAAATGAAAACTGCGAGTGAAGTCGGAAAGCGTCCCAAACGATGGCGATGAAAGAAATGTGTCCTGTTAGCAACAGGGACTGCTTACTTTATGAGGTTTAACCAAGATGAAATGACACATTTCAAAACTTGTCATCTTGTTTTACGTTAGACATTGCAACAGATGCGTCCAGCACCAGGATGCTCAAATTGATACCAATGAAGAGTTCCAAACTCACTGCGAATGTTGCGAACCCACTACCTAATCTTTATCGCACTTGCAGGACACGATGCTTTATACTCCTGGATACCAGGAATAGGCAGTAGGTCAGGATAGAATCAAGTTGTTTGAATTAGCAGTCTGATTTTTCAACCTCTATTCCAAGTCTCTATATTCTCCGGAGAGCTGTTCTAAAAGGTAGAACAAGTCTGCAAAACACAATGTTTGGATAGTGGATTTCTTGCTTTGGTGCATTGTGCCTACTACGGGTGAGTATTGTTCACTGGAGTTCCAAACGCCGAACAGTGATTGGGTCGCAGTGAACTAGCCAGAGTACTTTTCAAAATGTTTGAAAAGCCATTTTGAGCGAGCTTCTGCATCGAAGACTAGTACATCTTGAAACTAATATTGCCAATATATACAGCTTCCATTGTTTGAATTACTGCGGCCAAATCGCAGTCTCTTCAAGCCATCGTTCAAGCTCCGTTTTCGTCATCCATCGGCTTACGTAGAAAGTTGTTTTAATGTAACACATTTAAGCCTCCTAATATCCTCCAGCCATCATTCAAACAGCATCGGTTCTGTCAAGAAGAACACTACTTTCAGTAAGCGTTCCCATGGTGACGTTAATGTCGTTGCATGCCTCGGAGTTTTAGCTGATGGTATCTCGGCTATGTTCCATGGTTTCAGAAGACAAATAATCTAAATGGGTCTCCTTATTTCACCCGTTTTACGATTCAAGAGACGGGCAATTTCATTGCAGACGTTTTATCACCAATCAGAGTGACATCAGCAGGGCGTCGTTAGGAGGCTCAGTTGAACCTAGCAGTGCTTTGAATAGTGGCTTGTGAGGGCTGAAATACATGCTAATAGTTGGGCCTGACCCTCGTCTACAATTGGCTGTTCCATCGAGCTTTTCTATTATCTTCTATCCTGGTTGGTAGGTGACCAGTTGACTTCTGAGCATGGGTGTCCCTTCCGTCACCCACTGGCCCGTGATGGATTGAACTCCTTCCTTGAACTATCTGTCTTCCTCTATGTGAATTTTGTTGATCTAAACCCAAGGAGTTTCTTGTTTCTTGGATTATTAACCTGATAGGTCAACCAATAGCACATCCCGACCGAACAACCAATCAAAACGAGAGAGCATCTCAGGCTAGCAGTAGGCGTATTAGCACACCCTCACCACTACTGAAAGCACGACTGCTTAAGCTGCTGTCATGCCTTACCCCCGTCCGTAACAACACACTGATGATGTCATACTGACTGGTGATGAAAAGTTTACAATCAAACCAAAGAGAACAGCAAATGACCGGGTCTTTTTAACTCTGAGAACGGAGAAAATGTTCGACGATGGCTCCTGTTGTGAAACACAGCTATGAAACAGGCCTTGGTGGGAACAGTACTATAGCCAAAACTCTAATGAAACGGATTACTGACGTTCTGACTAACAAATGTTTCGACACATACTACTCATGAGGCGTAATCTTTTCTGACATATTCCCGGTAGAACAAAGGCGCTTTTCATAGAATATCACAAACTGGTTGTTCGTTGTTTTTGTTTATATGAAGCTCAAATGCTTCCGGCCACTAACAATGGTGATGAAAATAGTGAGGAGTTTTGAAAATTTTCAGTGGAAGTTTTTAGGTGTGAATGAATCCAGTCTCGGCTAAAAAGCCAAGAAGCACTATTCTATCCCTATTGGGAATGATTCGCAGCGTGGGTTTCACAAAACGCGAACGAGTTGTGAACCCTCAACCTCTCAGCTAGCAATTTAAACACCTAACCGTTCGACAAGAAGTGGCCAATCAACGGTAGGAATCCACGTCACGTGGTCACATTTTGGCTGGGTCTTGTAGTGGAATTCCTATTCGCGATTCCCAAACTCGAAAGGCCAGTCAGCACGTGACCATAATGTGAAAGAGAAGGTTGAGGGATGAGTGGTACTCCGTGCTAAATGCGGTTACTTACACTACTGGTCAGTCGCTTGTGATTAAGTGTACAAACCACCAATCGAGAGGCGTGGGTTTCAGAATTCTTGAAGTTTCTTGAAACGTCCCAAAAAGGACGTTAGACAATGTGACGATCGGTGGACCTAAATAGGACAGCCACTGGGTCGTACTTCGAGGCATCGGGTCAACCAATCAAGCGAAAACACCGTCTGCTCAGCCGCCAGCTTGGCGCGGCAGGGCAGTGCTAATATATTCGCCTTGCATTTCACAGGTGCGGGGTTCAAATCCTGACATGGCCAATAGAGGCATGCAATGCTGATGAGGTTGCTATGAACTAAATAAACTGCCTGCGCTAGGGTAGAAACAGAATAGTTTGAAAAAAATCATCGTGAAATCAAACTTATCAAACCGAATGGATAATTGCAGATATTTGTATATTTGGCGCGTGTCTTGGTACCAATTTGTGAGTCAGCCGACACGTTTGGGTTGAGATCAATACAGGATCAATCGATCGACATGAGGACAGTCCCTGGGTCGTCATTCGAGGTAAGCTAATCACATAGCTCAAGTTTGAACACGTGATAAATAAGGAGCATCTAGCGCGCGTTGGCGGAGTAGAGGTAATCTGCTTGCCGACAACCGGAGTTCAGTCCCGCAATCGTTACATAATGAGTTCATATAAGAGTGAAGCTCGAGTTCAGTAATTGCTGAGTTGAGTGCAGACTAACCGGTGCAGGAGAAATACTGTTCATCACATGAACTCTAAAATTCTCGCAGCCACCAACAACAAGTCATCACAGTTGCTGTAAATCAGTATGTTTGAATTAGCATTGTAGTTTCCAATACTGGAGACCAGGGGGGCAAAGTAAACCTGAATAAGAGCAGCGTACTAACCTGACTCAGCAAATACCGTACGAATCAGGTTTCCGTAATCAATCTGTTCTGCTGCTTCATTATTTGATTTCCTTTGCTTTGGAAACAACTGGTTCACCAAACGTAAATCTGTCCACGTTAGAAACGAAGCATAATTGCCTACATCCTGCCTGTCCACGTTAGAAACGAAGCATAATTACCTACATCCTGCAACGCAGACCTCACGCAGCGCAACCACACACAGTCGTTTGTTTAGGCACAAAACCCAGCGATAGCACTGACCGTTTGGTGTGAATATCCTTCCAAGCTTCGGTTCCCCCTCTTTGCATCAAGTTACAATGAAGAAAATGACGTTTTTCACCATATTCTGTACGATCGAATAAGACAATTTGGTCAGATTCAGTCGAATCTTTCAGAAAGCCCAAACTCGTATGCGAATTGGAGCAGGTGGCGAAATTCGAGCAGAACATAGTAGGATATAGTAGAACACAGGTTTGAAGGGCTGTGCTATCGTGATGAGCCCAAATAACTGGGGCAAAACCAGTCGTGCGCTGCCGAAGGTTTTTCACTAAGCTAATGAGTAATATGCTAAGCTGGTTTCATCCCCCCCCCCAACAAATAAACCTCTGCTTTTGCTGCAACTAGGGTTATTCGTCCCTGGCGTTCCATCGCAGCTAGGATTTTGTGGTATTTTGTGGCAGTTGCGGTACTATGAAGAAAGACAATCGAGCTGACGGGTGAAATCAGCATCTCACTGTTTGATGCGGTGTTCGGTGTTTTTACATACTTAGACCTGGTGATAGTCTCGTTTGCGGCAAACCTCTCCCGAGGGGAATGAATGCTCCCAATTCTGCTCTAGCCGTATCAAGGACAGCCAAGTCGTCCAAGCCCAAGATCCCAGCGAACCACGCGCCGGTAATCGACATGGTAAAGGCCTCCATCAGCACCGGGAAGGACCGCAAGGGCATATCACTTCCGACCATCAAGAAGTTCATTGGCGCCAACTACAAGGTTGATGTCGAGAAACTCGACCCGCACATCCGTCGTGGCATCGTTCATGCCGTCGAAACAGGTGTCCTCGTTCGCGTCAGTAACAAGGGCAAAGGTGCATCCGGGAGCTTCAAGGTTGCCGAGATGAAGGCCTAAGCCTGTCAAGAAACCCAAAGTAGTCAAGGCTAAGAAAACTTCAGCCCCGAAGAAGCCCAGTGCTGCTAAGAGCCATATAAGCCAAAGGCCAAAACCTAAGTCTGTGCGAGTTTGTCTTCCTATCCTATTCCTCTGATGTACAACAGCACGCGTAAAACCGCCCACGCTAACGTAAGTAATCGCAGGCGTCAAGCAGTCTAACCATTCAAATGAAAGTCACATTCCTATTCAGTGTGAGCCAACTATATCAGCATGATTGCCGATTGCACACAAGATGGCTTGAGATCCAAGTATGATCACACAATCAATATGTCTTTATGACTATAGATCTTGTTTTCCAAAACAAAACTCTTGTTTGAACCCATCAGATAAGTCGACAGGCAGCCCCAAAATCACCGGCAGAAATCGAACACGATAGTAGCTTCAGGTGAGCTCACCTTCTAGGATGGATAAGCTGAACACAGAAGCATGTTGGAACTTCTCAAGGACAGGGTGGATAGGTATCTCCCCACATCTTTTTTTGATAGGACACATGGAGATGGAATCTGTAAGATGGTGTGTGCAACCGTTTTTTAGGATACCCATGCAAAAATCTGAACCCAGGTCTCCTGGAGGATAATCTGCGAATATTCTCTCGGGGACACGGAGGCGTTTTTGGTAATTGATGTCACTGTACACAAAAACAGCTTGAATGTAAAGGCATTTCATTTTCAGGCACAACATCAACCACTTTTTGTACGAGAGTGTCTCCGACCACGAATGAATTTTTCAAAAAAATTCGTCAGTTATGGAAACCAAAATATACATTAGTTGATTGTTTCATGCTCCGAAGTTATGACTAGATATTCGGACCCTTTAAGTCCACTCAGATCAGTCTCCCATAGAGCAGGCTATACCATTGGGAACCACAGTATTTTGTTACACAGCGCCGTCCAGGAACAGCATTGCCAATATCCGATATTGATGGTGGATGACTTGATCAAGACTTCCGCGGCCAATATGATGGTGCTTTGATCCTGTAGACTTGTGTGAACCCGGAAGTCGTGATTAAATTGCTCTAGTTCCAGCCACTGGATGGTAGTGGGTTACTGTCAACCTTCATATTTGGTTTGTACCAACCAGACTGAAAAGGCTGTACAAGCTTTCTGGGATTTCAGTATAGAATGCTTCCCCTTGGCCAGCTGTATATCATTTCAGACGTCAAAAGCCACTGACTTCCTAATAATCACGTGGCAGTTGACACGAGAAGCAGGATTGATCTTTGGAAGAGTGAGCGGTCAACGCCTAAGTGATTACTCGTCAGCAGGACTTTATTGTGTGTGACAGTCACGTGTTTTGATGTATTTCCGTGATTTGCGTTGGTTCGAAAGAACATAACCAACTTGTTTTGAAACCGCTATCAGGGACTAGACGAACATACCTTCAACAATCTACAAACTGACTGCCAGTTGAATGGTACGAACCTCTGAACGCTATTAAGGTATTTCGGAAGGTCTTTTGTGGATATACTTCGGAATGCGTGCCCCCTGAAACGGATGCATGCCGTGTGTGGTTTCTGCGTCCATAGACGCTGTGGAAATAACCGTTCAGAAAATATGGTCAGGAAGATTTTCGAGGCACTTCCTAAACAGTTGTTGTGCCCTGGAAATACATCGGCCTTTTGTGAAAACATTTCAGAGAAGCAAACACCACTAGCAACAGAAATGCATCCTAGTTTAAACCGCAAAGGCCGGTGAACATGCGGCCGCTGAAAGCTCTAACGAGGAGTAATCAGGGGGTCTTTGTCAAATCCTTAGGTTGTAGGTGATTGCGGGATTACTATCGACTTGCCTGGAAATGCTTCTGTCCAGATGCAGTTATTCTAGTTAGCCTACTGGAGTTTCTCTCATCAGTGCGACAGGAGCGCTAGCTAATCGAAACAGCGTTCCGTTGGGTCCCCCGATGAACCAATCAGAATGCCTGCACTAAGGTAGAAAAACGTGAAATCATAGCTATCAGACTTTGCAGCAACCTGCAAATATTTGTATATTCGGCGCGTCCTTTGGTGCCAGTTCAAGCGTCAAAATAAATTTGGCCGAGACCGTCGGCTTGAGATCACTACAAGGTCAAGGACAGTCATTGGGTCTTCGTTCTAGGGTGTATGGTAAGCCGATCCCACAGTTCAGGTTTGAATACTATAGAAGAGAATGTCGGTAGCTCAGGTAGCGTAGATGGTCGTTGGCTTGTTCGCTGAGCTGGGCAATTTGGTTGCAAACGTTTCATCACCAATCGAGGTGACATCATCAGTGCGTAGTTGTGCGTAGCGGTGGGTTAGTGGTTGTGCGTTCAGTAGTGTTACGTGTGTGTTGATATACGTGCTGGTAGCCGGGGATGACCTTTGACCGCGCTTAGTTATTCTGTCGGGTGGTTCCATTGGTTGTTCTTTTATCCCGTGTCCTCATTCCCCGATGCCCACGTGACCTTGGAATTTGGCATCCCCGCCGTCGTAGTCTGGTCAGTGTTGGATTAACCTTTGTCCTTCCGAGTTCCGTTGTGACCTTTATTGATTTGATTCCGAGGATTTCCTTGTTTCTTCGTTTGTTAATCCATTATTCGGTCCTCCTTGAGTGTTTCGGTTGCGAAGTTGATCTCTCGCACGTAGAGGCGCGTAAATTGATTCCAGTTCGATGCACCGGTTGATTGAACCTGCCGTAGAGTACCATGCTTCCAGAAATTCTCTTTCATGCCGCGTGTCTCCGTATGCCAAAATTTTCGCGTTTTCCAGATTAAATTTTTGGCCTTCTTGGTCCTCGTGTATGTATAACAAGGACAGGGGATCATGCCTCCTGACAGCCGCGTTGTGTTCCTTTATTCGTGTACATAATTTTCTCCCAGTTTATCCAACGTAGAATTTGTTGCAGTCGTCGCATTTGATTTCGTATATCACATTGTTCCTCTTGGTTTTGTCCTGGTTGTCTTTCGATCTAGAGATTAATTTCCTTAGAGTAGCGCTCGGTTTGTGGGTCACGAAGATTCCTTTTTGTGCCAATAATCTGGTTGCGAGTTCTGATATATTCTTGATGTAAGGTAGAACTACCCGTCTGGTGGCTTGTTCTTGTTGTGGCTGTTGTTGAGATGTCTTCTTCTTCAAGCTTCTCTTGATAAAACTCCTTGGATATCCATTCTTCTGGAACATTCTGTATAGATGGATTTCCTCCTTCTTCCGTAGTTCTTGGTGCTGCAGTTTGTTTCCGCCCTCTTGAACAAGGTTTGGACGCAGCTCTTTTGTGGTTTACTGGATGATTGCTGTTGTAGTTCAGTATTTGGTCCGTATGAGTCTCTTTGTGGTATACGCAGGTTTCCAGCGTCCCATCCACCTTTCTGTTCACTAAGACGTCCGTGAATGGTAGCCGATTGCTTCTTTCCAGTTCGATTGTAAACTTGATATCTTCAAACGTTGTGTTGAACAGTTCATGTACGTCGTGTACTGAGTCCCGTTTTATGATGACAAAGGTGTCGTCCACGTAGCGGATCCACAGCTTTGGGTTGATGATCGGCAGTACAACACGCTCTAGTCTTTGCATTACCGCCCCAGCAATGAATCCTGATATTGGGGAACCCATTGGAGTTCCTTTCAGCTGTTGATATTTTGCATTACCCAGCAATGAATCCTGATATTGGGGAACCCATTGGAGTTCCTTTCAGCTGTTGATATGTTTGTCCATCGAAGGTAAAGTAAGTATTTGTGGTTGATTGAAGTGAACAGCGATGTGACATCAAATGAAAGCATGACTTCATCGTCTTCTATACTGACGTTCCGTAGTTTGTGTAGGAACTGACCTGCATTATTGACTGTGTGTTCCGATCCGGAGATTAAGTGTTTTAATCTTCTCCATAAGTCTTTTGCTAATTTGTAAGTTGGGGTTCCCGGAAGTGAAACGATTGGTCTAAGCGGAGTTCCTTCTTTGTGCACCTTTGGTAGTCCGTAGAATTGTGCAATGTTGGTATCATCAGCTTTCATTTTCCATCGTTCCTGTCCGGTTATCTCGTGTGTTTCTTGCAGTTTCTTGAGCGTCGCGTTGATTCGATTGATGACTGTTTGAAGTGGGTCATGATCGATTGGTTTGTAGGTTGTGGTGTCATTTAGCAGTTGTTTGGCCTTTTCAATGTAATCCGGCTTGTCCATTTTCACCGTGATGCGTCCTTTGTCCGCTGGTAGTATTACGATTGTTTCATCCTTTCGTAGATTTGTGAGTGCGTCTCGTTCTTGTTTGGAAATCAGTTGCATGTTTCTATTCCGCGTGATCGCCGGTACGATTGTCTGTCGTATCTGTTGTTGAACCTCCTCGGACATTTCGTTTGTTTTCAGGGCATGTTCTAAGCTGGCTAGGTAATCCTTGTAAGATGCGTCTTCGACGTTGAAGTTGAGTCCTTTCATTAGCAGTTCCTGTTCAGCTGTGCTGAGTTGGTGGCCAGATAAATTCTTGATCCAA